TAATCTCTCTTCTGCAATCTCCTGGGCAATCCACCTTGGCAATCGCCTTGGGCAATCTCGTAGCAGAACCTCTCTGGGCAGCTCTCTGAGCAGTCTCTTCTGCAAAAACTCTGTGTGCATCTCCCTGCCCGATCTCTTGGTGCCTGCGAATCACAGAAAGGCACTTTGAAGGTTCAACCGCTAAACTTGAAGATGCGGACGTGTGCCTGGGGAAGCTATCTCCGCTGAATGCGCATGGGCACTGCAAAGAAACGCATTCCTGTTGAGCTGTTTACGCGTCATCCCACCCAGGCGCCTAAAAAGGCTATAGTTCTAATCGAAGCTTCATTTGCACAGGCACCTCTTCTGGGGCAGGTCTTCGGAAGACTTCGCTCAGTAACATCTCGCTTCGCAATCTCTCTGTGCAATGGGCATCTCAATCTCGCGCAAGCACACTCCCGCACTGTTCGGACGGTCGGCCGAATGTGCTTCCCGGTCTGTTGCGGGGGCACCTGTGTGCGTGTGTGTGTGTCGTTTCTTTGATTGTTCATCTTTTCTGGGACTGGTCATCGCTTCTGTGACATTGTTCATCGCTACTGTGACTGTTCGTTGTTTCTGTGACACTGTTCTCTGTGACTGGTCATGGTTTCTGTGCCATTGTTCATCGCTACTGTGAGTGAGTGAGTGAGTGAGTGAGTGAGTGAGTGAGTGAGTGAGTGAGTGAGTGAGTGAGTGAGTGAGTGAGTGAGTGAGTGAGTGAGTGAGTGAGTGAGTGAGTGAGTGAGTGAGTGAGTGAGTGAGTGAGTGAGTGAGTGAGTGAGTGAGTGAGTGAGTGAGTGAGTGAGTGAGTGAGTGAGTGAGTGAGTGAGTGAGTGAGTGAGTGAGTGAGTGAGTGGAGTGAGTGAGTGAGTGAGTGAGTGAGTGAGTGAGTGAGTAGTGAGTGAGTGAGTGAGTGGAGTGAGTGAGTGAGTGAGTGAGGGAGTAGTGATGAGTGAGATGAGTGAGTAGTGATGAGTGAATAATTGATGAGTGAGTAGTGGGTGATGAGTGAGGTGGTGAGTGTGTGAGTGAGTGAGTGAGGTGGAGTGAGTGAGGAGTGAGTGAGTGAGTGAGTGAGTGAGGGAAGTGAGTGGAGTGAGTGTGTGAGTGAGTGAGTGAGTGAGTGAGTGATTGAGTGAGTAGGAGTGAGTGTGTTGAGTGAATGGTGAGTGAGTGGTGTGTGAGTGAGTGAGTGAGTGAGTGAGTGATGAGTGAGTAGTCACGAGTGGCTAGCGTGCGTGTGTTCTTGGCGTGTGTGGGTGCGTGAGGGGGCGTTAGTGCATAGCGTCGTGCGTGCGCGCGGCTGCAGCCGCGCGAGGGAGTGAGGAGGAGGGAGGCGGGGCGAGGGAGGGAGGCAGGGAGGGGAGGAGGGAGGAGGAGGGAGGGAGGGAGGGAGTGGGAGGGAGGGAGGGAGGGAGGGAGGGAGGGAGGGAGTGAGTGAGTGAGTGAGTGAGTGAGTGAGTGAGTGAGTGAGTGAGTGAGTGAGTGAGTGAGTGAGTGTGAGTGTGTGTGAGTGAGAGTGAGAGTGAGAGTGAGAGTGAGTGAGAGTGAGAGTGAGAGTGAGAGTGTGAGTGTGAGTGTGAGTGTGAGTGTGAGTGTGAGTGTGAGTGTGAGTGTGAGTGAGTGAGCGAGTGAGTCAGCGCGTGCGTGCGTGCGTGAGTGCGTGCGTGGGTGCGTGAGTGCGTTAGTGCATGCGTGCGTGCGCGCGCGCACGCCTGTGCGTGCGTGAGTGCGAGAGTGCGCGAGGCAGTGGAGTGGAGTGGAGTGGAGTGGAGTGGAGTGGAGTGGAGTGGAGTGGAGTGGAGTGGAGTGGAGTGGAGTGGAGGTGGAGGTGGAGGTGGAGGTGGAGGTGGAGGTGGAGGTGGAGGTGGAGTGGAGGAGCGGAGGAGCGGAGAGTGGAGTGACTGGGTGCGCAATATGCATGCTGGCGCCCAGGCCGATTCGCTTCACCCGGGAAAAAAAGGAAGGAAACATGAAGCGGGAGCACCCCGGCCAATCGGCCTATGGAAGCCCAAGAGACAAAGGCCAACGCCCACGCAACGCAAATGAAGCGAGAGAGTGAGAGGGCAAGTGAAAGGGCGAGCGCGAGGGAGTGAGCGAGCGGGGGAGTGAGCGAGCGGGGGAGTGAGGGCCAGCCAGCCAGCCGGCTGGCAAGCCGGTCAGTAAAGGGGGCCAGTGAGTCAGTGAGTCAGCGAGTCAGTGAGTCAGTCGGTAATCAGTCATTTACCTACTTTTCAATTCACACATCCATCTATTCGTCCATGCATGCACAAATGAACCCCTCCAGGCATGGTGTACCAGGCATTGACCGAGGCACAGTGGCCACAGCGAGCGTGCTTGACGGAAGATTTCCGCCAGGATGACCATGGCACCTCCTGGATCCTGCGAGGTCATTCATGTTGTCAGTGGTTGCCGCCAGTTCCTCATCTTGAGTCCGACCCACGTGGCCATGGGTCAAAAGCCGTACCCCCAGTGAACATCCCAATCCCCACTGACATAGGTTCTAAAATGGGTGGTGAATTCACCTACCCCAAAATGGGATCCCACTGGTCTTGACAACCACAACCATGTCTCAGGTTCCACAGCACAGCTGAGTAAGCGAGTTTTCGAACCGGCCCATGCAAGCATGGTCCTGCTTGCCCGCCTTTTGCATCAGCGCTGGCGAGTAATAGATCTCAGGCCGGGCGCGGTCGCACCGAGAAAGCCACACTTGGCAGCTTGCATGCCGCATTGCAACATCTGAACCCTGAGATCCAAACCAAGATGGCCGGGCCTCCGACTTCCTGTGTAAGAAAAGCCGGGCTCTGAAAACCCGCGACTGAAGCCACTCCTTGAAGCCATCTCTCTTGAACTTCTGGTTCACGCATCCACTCATTGCCAGCTCCTTTCGGACACAACAGGTTTCACCGCACACGGTGGTACACCCCAAACAGACTGACGCGAGTGCCTGGCTGAGCACTAGCTGGTCGGCCTTCTTCAGCTTGCCAAACTGCCTCGCACTGCTGTTCCGGCTGCAGCTGCCAAACAAACCAAAAAACAAGAGCCAGACACACAGGGAAATTGACTAAAACCCATGGGCCAAGCCCATTGGTCACTTGACATGGCCTGATGATCTCAGCGCTGTTCCCCTGTGCCATGAGGACCTTGGGTTTGACATGTTCAATGCGTGCGGCGGCGCTGGTCGTCACTAGCTTGAAACCGGCTTGCTCGCACGCCGTGTGTCAATACGCTTCAACGATGAAGCATGACCCTGTCCCGGGAGAGACTCCGAACCAGCCAACCGGGACGGGGCTCGAGACACCTGTTAGCTCAGCCCGTCTTCACCACTAAAAACAATTCAAGAAAGAACAATACACTTACAAACACCCACATCCTCACCATTCAAAAACCAAAAAGACAACCATGAAACAACAAACATTATGTCACACATATCAACCATATAACCATGATATTGCAAACATGTCACAAATGTCAAACAATATAACCGTAAAACTACAAACATGTCACAACTACCAAACAATATAACCACAAAATTACAAACACACCACACATATCGAACATATAACCATGAAATTACAAACACGCCACAAATATCAATCATAAAACCATGAAAATACAAACACGCCACAAATATCAATCATAAAACCATGAAATTACAAACACGCCACAAATATCAATCATAAAACCATGAAATTACAAACACGCCACACATATCAATCATAAAACCATGAAATTACAAACACACCACGCCACACATATCAATCATAAAGCCATGAAATTACAAACACGCCAAAAATATCAATCATAAAGCCATGAACTTACAAACACGCCACACATATCAATCATAAAACCATGAAATTACAACACGCCACAAATATCAATCATAAAACCATGAAATTACAAACACATCACACATATCAATCATAAAACCATGAAATTACAAACACGCCACAAATATCAATCATAAAACCATGTAAAATACAAACACATCACAAATATCAATCATAAAACCATGAAATTACAAACACGCCACAAATATCAATCATAAAACCATGAAATTACAAACACGCCACAACTATCAATCATAAAACCATGAAATTACAAACACGCCACAAATATCAATCATAAAACCATGAAATTACAAACACGCCACAAATATCAATCATAAAACCAAGAAATTACAAACACAACACAAATATCAATCATAAAACCATGAAATTACAAACACGCCACACATATCAATCATAAAACCATGAAATTACAAACACGCCACAAATATCAATCATAAAACCATGAAATTACAAACACGCCACACATATCAATCATAAAACCATGAAATTACAAACACGCCACAAATATCAATCATAAAACCATGAAATTACAAACACGCCACAAATATCAATCATAAAACCATGTACATTACAAACACACCACAAATATCAATCATAAAACCATGAAATTACAAACATGTCACACATATCAACAAGATAACATAAAATTACAAACCACCTGAATTTACTCACCGAAGAACAATCTCTCTCCGAGCAAGGCCTCTAAGGCCCCCGCCAGCCGCATCTTGGCCACGGCGCCAAAGCCGCTGGGGGCGGGGCCCAGCTCTCGCTGCTCCATGTTGTTCCAGCGCCACACGAGGTAGTCCTAGCGCAGAAAAAGCGCGCCGCGAAAAACGAGATGATGTTTTTTTTTTTTTTTCTCCCGCCCGCGCGGAGAGGCTGCACGTTTCTCTACGCGCTCCGGACGGGTGAGATGATGAAATGTGTTCAAAGCGCGGAAAGGGGAAATATGTGAAGTGAAATCTTGCTCTGCGCATGGTCTTGACCTGTGTGCTTGCTTGCTTGCTTGCTTGCTTGCTTGCTTGCTCGCTCCGTTTGCTGGCTTGCTGGGTTCGTTTCCTTGCTTGCTTGCTTGGTCAAAAAAGAGGTTGCCGTGCAATCCAGGCCCTGCAAGGGACAAAGGAACTCTCTCATTGGTGAGCTCACAAGCTGTGCCAGTGTCCAATGATACACCGCAGCCGTCCATATCGCCCGCGCACCCCGTGCAAAGTGGGAGGTGGGCTTACGTTGTGCGAGCCAAGTACGACAAGCATCCAGCAGGTCAAGCAGCGACTTGCTTAGACACTTGTAAGGGAAGTAAAGCAAACTCTAAATGCTAATTTCATTGAACTCGTTTTGGTGACTTATGTGAAAACCTTCTTGGCCTTGTTGAGGGTGCCGTACAGAAGCTAGTCTCGACGTGCCCGCCTCAAAAACTTCCGTCTCCGTCTTTGGGCCGAGGTTCCACACCTGGGCTTCAATTCGCACCCTGGCTGTTGAAAACGCGACTTTTGGCTCAAACTTCTGAACACTTCTGGACTCCGGCGAACAAGACACTTGGAAGATGCCACACGCACAATGTCCGCGCAGCTTGAGGAGCGGGCCACGGCAAAGGAGTCGATGAAGCTGCTAAGGACGTGCAAGGGGAACTTCAAGACAAACTTCTCGCAGCCTCGCAAGTCGTATGCTGGCTCGCAGAGGTCTTAGAAGAAACACATCCGACGCAAGGGAAGTTGATCCAGCACTACGCAAGTCATTTTCGCGCCTTGTAAGGGAAAAGCTTCTGCACCGGCCAAATCGGCGAACCTTGGCGAGGGAATGATACCCGAATGTAGTGGCTAAAGCAACATTTCGCTGAGGCCGAGGCCAGTGGACAAAGTAGAAGGCAATATTGCTGGCCTTGACCGTTTCACGGCAGGCTATTCAAGTTTGCCCACGTCGGCGCTTGACACTTCTCCAAAACTTGCTACACCAGTCGTCTGCCATTTCTGCAAGCCTCCTTTTCTGCACCCTGCGCCAAACCTCAGGCCGCCACGCACTTCTCGTCATCAGCTGCCCCACTGAGCACGACTTCACGGAATGCCTTGAATAAAGCCTGCATGCACGGCGCCAAGGTGACTGCAAGCTCACAGCTGGCCGTGCCCACACACGTGTCCATCCAAACAAACTTGGATGGGCCCATGCAAAATGCTGGGCGCACCCCTGGTGGAGCTTCTGCTTGCACCAGCCAACCTCAAGAGCCAGTGTAGTGTGGAACGGCCTTTTTTGGGACCGTTCGGGAAAAGGAGGTGAAAGAAGGCATAACGTGTTGAGAACTCACCCACGGTCCTGAATACAAGAGTTGACACAAACTGCAAGGCCGCGGCCCATGTTGTAGTCCAACTTGCAGTGGGTGAACCTGATGCGAGAGCCAGGCCATGCGCTCCATTCTCCCCCCAAGAGCAGCTGAGTGGCTTGATGCTTTCTTGCATGCTTGTTGACAGCCCGGCAAAGGATGGCAACGCTTGAGGGCATCTGTCCAGCACCTGCGCGCTGGGCGATTGCGGCAAGCGTCGCATGGTGGGCTCGAGGCCCTGCACGGCAGGCTATGGTCAATCAAGCATTTCTTGCTATCCGCTTCCCTTTACTTTGGAAGCTGGGGGCTGGAGAAGCAAATGTAAGCGCTGCAACTATGGAGGGGGCGCATAGCTCAAAGCCACGTCATGGTCGCCAATGGGCTCACCATTTTGGTAGCCACTAAACCTCGTTTTGCATTTTTCAAACTGCTCCATGCTGGTCTCCGCCACTAAGTTTGGGGCTCGCCACAGCCCACGGTGGGACGAAGGATGTCCAGTTTCATGACGTCATGGATAGTCATGAGCACCAGCCTCAACTCAACCACTCCGCTTGCGGCCAGCTTTTGTGCTACAACTTGCGGCCTTTAGGAAACCAAACCCCTCTGACAGTCTGAGGCGGGCCACATCGCCAAGGTTCTCTCCACGTCATGGGGGCCTCCGGCCTGCGAGGCGACAAGAATGCAGCTTTGGAGCCCAAGCCGCCCAGGCCTTCTTTAAAAGGCCAGCACCAACCTTGGAAAGATAAGTTCACGCGCGCCACTCGACATATGCCAGGCATTCACATGCATGAATGCTCACTGCTCCCAAGCTCTGGGCAAGCAAACTTTCAATGGCCGCCCAATCAGTTTTCTCGAAGAACATATTCCGCTTGTTGTACTCAGCCTGCAAGACTCCCCGATACCGCTGAGTACGCTGGCCAAAGATAGCTCAAGGTGCAGCTGGCTTTGCAAAGACACATGCTCCAGATGAGGGACCCCCTAAACTGGCTAGAATCTACTTGCCTTCCTCTCAAAGCCCCAAAGAAGGTCTTGACCAAGGACACAGACAGGACAGGACAGGACAGGACAGGACAGGACAGGACAGGACAGGACAGGACAGGACAGGACAGGACAGGACAGGACAGGACAGGACAGGACAGGACAGGACAGGACAGGACAGGACAGGACAGGACAGGACAGGACAGGACAGGACAGGACAGGACAGGACAGGACAGGACAGGACAGGACAGGACAGGACAGGACAGGACAGGACAGGACAGGACAGGACAGGACAGGACAGGACAGGACAGGACAGGACAGGACAGGACAGGACAGGACAGGACAGGACAGGACAGGACAGGACAGGACAGGGACAGGACAGGACAGGACAGGACAGGACAGGACAGGACAGGACAGGACAGGACAGGACAGGACAGGACAGGACAGGACAGGACAGGACAGGACAGGACAGGACAGGACAGGACAGGACAGGACAGGACAGGACAGAGAGACACACACACAGAGAGAGACACAGAAAGAGAGAGAGAGAGAGAGAGAGAAAGAGAGACACAGAGGGAGAGAGAGAGAGAGAGAGACACAAAGAGAGAGAGCGGGAGAGAGAGAGAGACACAGAGACACAGAGAGAGAGAAAGAGAGACACAGAGCGAGAGACACAGAGAGAGAGAGAGAGAGAGAGAGACACAGAGAGAGAGCGAGAGAGAGAGAGAGACACAGAGAGAGAGCGAGAGAGCGAGAGACACACAGAGAGAGAGAGAGAGCGAGAAAGGGAGAGAGAGACAGAGAGAGAGAGAGAGAGAAAGACAGACAGAGACACACAAGGACAGAGACACGCAGAAACAGAGACACACACACAGAGACACACAGAGACACATATACACACAGACAGAGACACACACACACAGTCAGGGACACACACACACACACAGTCAGGGACACACACACACACACAGTCAGGGACACACACACACAAAGTGACACACAAACAGACACACACACACACAGACAGATTCACACACAGACAGAGACACACACACACAGACAGAGACACACACACACAGACAGAGACACACACTTACACACACACACTTACACTTTCTTTTTAATATCTTAGCCCGATTCGTTGCAGTCACCACGCCTCCAGCTCCTGATCCTGCCAACATGGAAGGCTCGAACAAATAATGCAAGCACAATCACAAATTGGCATGGGCTCCGCAATGGGGAATGGGGGAACCAAGAATCTCAAGATGGCGGCTTCCTCTTCGATTTGAAACAACCCCAAAGCACAGAACCCTCAAAAACAAACACACACACACAAAGAATCGTAGCTTTACCGCAACGGGTCAACCAAGAGAGAGGGTGCCGGATCAAAAGCCCTCTCTGTTGCTCCTTGAAGTGGTCCTTGCTCCGAGGGTTCCAGTCATTGTCGAGGCCGAAGCAGAAGCACTCCTGCGGTTTCCATTTCGCCCCTTTCGCTTGGCCTTCAACTTGAAACTAGCAGTCCGTCCTTGCCATCCAGGTGCTGGCGCATAAGCCAGAAGATGCAAAACAGCGCGCCGATGGTGCGTTGGTACTCGTCTTCGCCTCGCGCGATGCACGGAGGGGACGGCGAACATGCGCTGGCGGGACAGGCCGAACAATCTCCCGGCCTGTTCTGCTGGCCGACGTGGTCAGCGCCGAGATGGAAGGCAAAAGGATCTTCCCCTCCCCGTGTGGCGTGCCGCCTTCTCGGACCACCTGGGCCATACACAGCGGGTACTCACTAAACTGCGCGCATTCATCTAACTGCGAGGCGCCCACGCAGTAAAGTCTCAGCTCCGGAAAAGCAGCCACCAAGTCATTGTAGAAATCCTGGCTCATCATGTGCTGGTTCGCAAAGCCCGCTTGGGCATTGCCTTACACCAATGTCCATGCGTGGCGCGCGGCAACCCGCCTTTGTGGAATAGCTGGCGCTCCGAATTTGCTCCGCGGCGCGGCCTTGGTTGCTTGGCAAACGCCGTGTGCTGCACTTCTTTCAGACAATGGGCATGCATCACCACACATGTCATGAGAAACCAACGTGATACCTTTCCGCTCTGGCAGCCTTGCGTGTGCTAATGCTCAGCGCAAAGCGCGCTTTGGCCCAGTCAGTGGTTTTGCCATCCATTACCTGGGTACAACCGTTCCACACGCCATCAGCCAACTCGCAAACTCCCCCTTGCGGCTCATGGTTTTCTTTTGGGCCCCTTGCAAGGGAGAGGCAACACGCCTAGCACCCTGATCATCCAAACTCTTTCAGCTTGACTGTGTTTGGGATGGACATCGACTCTTCAATCCCGCAAAACATGCTTCTCTCGGTGCTGGACCCGCATGATCAGCAGCTCGTCCTTGCCACCTGGGCCGCTCCTTTTGGCGTGTGGCCACCTCTGTTGCTTAGGGGTGAAGGTGGGCAGAAAATGCTCGGCACAACCAAGTCGGCTTGCATGGAGTTGAGGTCGAGGTCGAGGTGAGGGGTTACGGCCTATGTAGACCCCCCTCTTGGTGTCCAAGTCCTTCATGGCCGTTGACAGCAACAAATATCCGACTGGAGTCTGGAGGCAGCTGGAGACTGAGGACGTGCGGCTGCGCCAGTTTTCGTGGGGATGGACGAGAGAAATGGTCCAAGTGCACGCTTGGATTCTAAGACTGCCACTGACAGGCAAAGGTTCTGGTGGCACAACCTGGAGAGAACGCCAGCATTGCATTCATACGTTCAAAATGAGAACTTTGATCAGCACCCATCTTTAGATGCCACTCAAGCCATTAACCTTGGCCGTCTTGGCTTGCTCGGCCTTCTTCCTGCTCGTATCCGAATCAGTGGCTGTCACGATGGCATCGTCGGCGCTGCGCCTGCCGAGATCGGGAGTCAAAACACCCTCAACAAGCAGCAGCCTTGCCAACAAGCAAGTTCCAACCGACAACCACATCAAACATCCACATGCCAATGTCACCGTACATCAAGTTGTGCTGCAGAGGTTGCAAAAGTCCAAAGACGCGAAGTCGCACCTCTTGCGCCCTTTCCTCCGCTCGACCTCATGCCTCAGCGAAATGGGCGTGGGGAGGACCCAAGCTATGAGCCATGGTGCCAAAAGGACCTCGAGCCTTCCCCGCTAGACCCCTCGAATTGCAGCCACGTCTGCTCGACTTCTGCCGCATCGGTCCACCCCCACCTGGCCATTCGGATCTGGGACAAACCTCGCTCTTCAGAGGTGCCAAGCTCAAGTAGCACACAATGCTTGTTCCTGTGCATGTTGTGGCAGTCAGGGAAAGGGGTGGGCCTATGCCTGGAGCCGGGCCCAACCACCCCAAAAGAGAGGAGCAAACCTTGTTATCACCATGTCGAACTCCCCGGTGTTCGCAATGGGCTCCTGGGCGCAGCCAGGACGGCAACCAAGTCTGTGCAATAATGGCTCCCTTGCTGCGGCTCAACAGGGCGTGACACTTATGATATGGTAAATGGGCTGCTCGGGAGCGATCATTGGCAGTCGAAAAAGGCGTCCATGACACGGTAGTCCAAGCACGAGCTTTTGCTCATTGTGGTTTTCACAACTCGTCTCTCCTGCCGGGAGAAGGTGAAGTCATTGGCTGCCGGCAGACCGATGTATTGCCACTGCTGATCCTCGCACGCGCACTGAAGGAACCCCAAGAACCAGAACAGTTGACGAACGGATCATTCTTGTAGTTTGTTGGGCTCACAGCGATCAAGTTGCATGTTTAGCTGGTGATTCGCCTGCGAATATCTCAAGGCAATTCAGAACAATTGGTCCAAGAAAAAAACACAGCGCACTTAATTGTGTGTTTTGGGCTCGCTCGATCCATGTCTGTTTGGTCTGTTTGGTCTGTTTGTTTGTTTGCTTGATGCGACTGTGTGGCTTCTGAGGGCCTTTGAGAACCTGTGGTAAAAAGTAACAAGGGTTCCAAACAAACAAACAAACAAACAAACAAGCAAACAAACAAATGCAAGCAAGCAAGCAAGCAAGCAAGCAAGCAAGCAAGCAAGCAAGCAAGCAAGCAAGCAAGCAAGCAAGCAAGCAAGCAAGCAAGCAAGCAAGCAAGCAAGCAAGCAAGCAAGCAAGCAAGCAAAGCAAAGCAAGCAAGCAAGCAAGCAAGCAAGCAAGCAAGCAAGCAAGCAAGCAAGCAAGCAAGCAAGCAAGCAAGCAAGCAAGCAAGCAAGCAAGCAAGCAAGCAAGCAAGCAAGCAAGCAAGCAAGCAAGCAAGCAAGCAAGCAAGCAAGCAAGCAAGCAAGCACACACACACACACCACACACACACACACCACACACACAGCGCATACACACAGCGCATACACATCCGAACACCTATGGCAACAGGTTCGGCAGCGGGTTAGCATAGTCAGTCCTGAGGGCTCAGCACCTCGCAGTGCACCTCGCAGATGTTGTACACGGTCTTCAGTCCAGGAAAGCTCACAGAGTACTCCACCTGCCCATGGATCAAAGCCCGAATCGTACCCCCAGTGAACATCCCAATCCAACCACTAAAATAGGTTCTAGGGTGGTGAATTCCATACCCCAAAATGGTACCATTGGTGTTGACCCGCGGCCACCTGGCAATGGGACACGCTGAAAAGATGTCAATGGCATCGGGGGTTCTGGCACCAACCCTCGCAGAACAGGAGCTAAACCTCTGGATTCCAAAGGAGTGCAGGATGCCATTCATTCTAACCAGTGAGGGCATGCCCGTGCTCAGGAGAGGCCCACACCGGTTGGCAAACACAGCAAATCCCCAAATCTTGGGATGTGCCAATACACTTCCCATCTTCAATTCTCCTGACTGGCCGACATTGTCCCTTGGATCAACCCGCTTATGCGTAACCTCCAAACTCAAAGCCTCCTCCCGTGTCTCCATGAGCTCGATGTTTAGGGCTTCTCGCTGCTGCTGGTCCGAGATGCCCAGCCGCAGGAAGAGAGCCTCACGGCACTCATGGGCTTGACACGCACGCGCCCGATCCAGAGACAATCACGAAGAGGCAGTACGGCTGTACCAGCACTGTGACATGCTCCAGGTTTGAGAGAAGAGCTTTCAGCCTTCCATTGCAAAGAGTCTCTCTTTAAAAATAAATACATAATAATACATAAAACTAAGTTTGCTACGTGCTCTCTCTTCTGGCTTGCAAAGGCGCACAATTCTTTGTGAGACCCCGACCCTCACCACGTCCGGCCAACCCACCGTCCCCCCAGGGAGCCTCGCGGACCGCCTCCTGCCAGCTCTGCAAGGCCCGCATCCGCATGGACAAGGTGCGCAGGGATCGGAAGTTCTGCGTGCGACCTCAGAACTCACACACA